GATGTCATAAACGAGGGAACAATCTCCACTATATTCTCGATCGCATTCCACAGGAGTAGAAAGACATCTTGGTTAAAGATGAACGGTGGAGTCCGGGCGATTGGGGCCTTAAGATTCAAGACGCGTCCCCCACAAGAGCCTATCAGTTCTCCCACATGCAGAAGGGATCTCACACCAGTGCTACTTTCCTCTCCTTCCCGATCACCCACACCAGTACGGACATGCCAACTATCTGGAACTGCGAGTTTGAATCAGCTGTACTAGACTTCTTCCTCCTTAGAAAAGTAAGGGTCCTAGGCACGTGGCCGGAATCAATCTTCAGACCGGACACCCCAATTCGATCTTTGGAATTCGACCCCGCGGAATGGGCTTGGAAGCCGAACATTTCCAACAACATTAAGACCAAAATCCCAATCCAAGATTATACAGTCAAAACTGGGTAGAGACTATCCCTGAAGACTAAAACCCGGACCCTATCATCAAAAACAGATGGCGGAACCTCTTGGGGCAAGAAGCAGACAAAATCACACAGATCCACTGGAAAAAATTCAAGCAAGTCCGACCAGTTAAGATTAGAAGTCTACAATGGCTGATCGTTTATGCAGCCTTACCAGTCAACCATTGGCTGCACACCAGACGGAAAGCCACAGATCCTAACAGTTCGGAACTATGCACAGTCTGCAGCGAAGGCATGATAGAAGATATAGTTCACTGTCTGGTGCGATGCAAAGAGGCGACCGAATACTGGACCAGAGCTTCTTCACTTTGGGATTCCCTCTTCTCATCCCCCTTCCCTGATCAGGCCATTCAACTGCTCCTCTTGTCCAATATCCCCGCTATGGCATGAAAGTCAGAGAAGATTTGGTTCGAACTCATCAGGAAAGTGACCCTTTGGATAATTTGGAAGGAGAGATGCAGCAGATCAATTGAAGGGCAGTCCAACCCACGGGAGAAGGTATGGAGTGAAACTCGAACAATGATTCAAGCAGAGATTCTTTCGAGATGGCGGAAAGTCAGACAAGCATGGACAGAAGACGAAGAACAACGAAAGAAGGACAGACTGCGCTTTTACAGGAACTGGCTCAACAATGGCAAGATCGCTGAAATACGTGAGGATCGCATCTGCTGGAAGGAATGGCATAACTCAGCATCGGAGAGGGGCCCCCAACATCAGACAATGCCATACAACACAGTTACATCCTGAGGCTCAAAAGAGGAGGAGGGAGCAAGAGAAGGCTCTGAAGAAAGAGGCAGAAGGCGATAWAGCAGAACAGCTGAGGTATGCATTAGCGGAAGCGCGCGCAGCGAAGGGCATTTCCCGAAAGTTACGCCAGCAACWCAGACAACAGCACGAGCTCATAATGAAGAAGGACAAGGAGTTGCTGAGAATCACGGATAAATATACCCGACTTACGGAGGCAGTCAAGGCTCCGCCAGCGTCAGAACCAAAACCAGAATCTGATGTGTTGGAGAAGGAACAGGAAATTCAGATGGATGAGGATCAAGAGTACATGGACAGACGATGAAGAGCAGCGGAAGAAGGCTAGAAACAAGTTCACCAAGACATGGTTGGTAGGGGGGAAGGTTGCTGAGTTGCGGAATGWTCGYATCTGTTGGAAGGAGTGGCACAASTCCGCTTCAAGAAGGAATCTGGAACAGCAAAGCACGGAATCAGGGCATGGAACCCTCGAGCCAGAATCTAACTGAGACAGTTCTGCTTTCGGGTCACTACTTTTGATGTACAACCGTGGGGACCAGGATGCAGGCTAGTAATGAAGGCGAGCAAGGGAGGTTAGGGCCAAAGCAAAGGGTTTTGGAGCAATGAGGAGGCGGTCCTTGAATGGAAATGGTATATTGGGGAGCGGTTAAGAAGGACGAGGGTTTAGGGTTTAGGGTTTAGTGATTGCTCAGGTAAAAGGAAAAGCAGGTGGAATGGGAAGGGCTCGGGTTGATGATCACAATAGTGGGAACCTTTCTAGGATTCAGCGATGGAATTTGGCAGACCTAATTGTCCGGTCTGAGAGGAAAGAGAGAGGATGGGCAAGCTGGCAGTCAATCCTCCACTGAGGTGGAGCAATCAATGCTGTCCAGGGGTCCTTCGGCCAGACGGAAGGAAGCGTGAGTGAGTCCCAACGATGTAATTTTTGACTTGCCGGTGGAATAGGAACCGGACTGACGCTCCCCAGAATAGAATGGAGCCGGGACCATAAGGCCCTGAATTTTTATTAAAAAAAAAAAACAACAACAAAAAAACGAACTACTAATATCAGAAATTTTCAGATAGAACGAAAACGCGAATATCAGAAATTTCAGATAGTTGTTGCGAGAAAAAAATTTCAGAGATTTGACTAAGTCCTACTTGCGTTACTAATGAGTGATCAATAGATCGCAAGCTGGCTACTTGATTGAGCGGGTCCTCTGWATGAGAGGTCCGCTCCGATACCAAACTGTTGCATACTGTAACGTGCAGACCAGAACAAGAACCGACCTTTCAATACAAAGTACAAGATAACACAGCGGAAGACTTAGATACCAGTGATCCGAAAAATCGATGTTGTAATGCAGCCCTGGACATACATCATCATCATCGTTACAAGGTGTGAATGGGTCTGGCGCTTCACACAGGAAGACAGCGCCAGCCCATACCATACACAGACGAAGAGGAAGGCGATAGATGAAGAGGAGGGGGAAGATGGGAATGTCGTCAACACCAAGTCTTCGGCACAAGCCCAAATAGTCCCTCGTCGGAATGTCTGAATCCCAAATGTCCAGTCTGGATCCAATGTCGTCAAGTCTCAAGTCACAACTCTGTCTCTCTCTGTCGTAGTCTGAGAAGTCAGGTGGCGAGAGGGTGAGAAGAGAAGGTGGACTTAGAAGAGGAAGAAGAAGACTCTCTCTCTCTCTCTGTCCAGTACTAACCTGTGAAGTTGGCCCCTTGATGCAGGTACCACGAAGATGGAGCTGGAGCGATGGCGCCACAGGTAAGTAACACTGGCCTCCGCCAGTCTCTCTCCCACTCTACGATCTACCACCTACCAGCGCCCAGCGCTGAAGACTACAGCTACAGCTATGGCGCCCAGCGCCGAAGACTACATCTAGCGCTACCACTACTGCCTAGCGCTGAAGACTACTGCAGCGCTCCTCCTGAGTGCTGCGGCCGATATCCTGAAGACTACCTCGTGCCTACTGAACTACCTACCYGTGAAGTGCATGGGAACYTCCTATGTACTACGGGTGTGCCTCCTGAGSCTGCCGAAGGGAGGCAGGGGCTGCAGCTGCAGCTCCTGCTCAACTCGTGAGGAACAGGCTATTTCTGGCCTGTTCCGCATCCCTGTTTACGTGCCTGAGTCTTAGGGGCAGGTCGAAACAATGAGGGCCTGAAAATGGCCGTCCGTTTCAGGCTGAAAACTCTGGGTCTGAAAAGACCCAGAAATAGGCTGAAACGGGGTAGGGCCTGCAGGCCCTCGTTTTTCAGCATCCAGGCTGAAACGAACGGGGCCTGTAAGCCCCAAGTTTTAGGCTTTTAGGCTGAATGTCCGGGATGGGCCCTGCAGGGCCCGTGTGGCTACGCAGTATGCCACACTTGATCTCGTCTCGCTGCTCGCACTAATGCTGCTGCGCTGCGCTAATCTTACTAACACTGCAATGCTGCGCTAATCATGAAGACTAACTCCTGTCTACCAACCTTTCTACTGAGGCTGGTACCCAGCCTTTTGTAGTGCTGGGCCGGCCTCCTACCTGCTGGTACCTACCGGCCCGGACCGTTGATCTGATCAACGGTCCAGTTTTAAAACTGGACTTGGTGCCTAAACGCGGCAGCCTCTGCAGCGCCGCCGGTAGGTCCTATGCTGGACCGGTACCGGCCTTGTGGCCGTTGGCCTGGGCCTCTACCCCTGGCCTGCCTGAACCGCCGTGGTCCTGGCCTATCTGGGCCTCATCTGAACCGTCGTCCCCTTAGGCCTACCCTGCCTATCTGGAACCGGGCCCTAACTGGGGCCCGTGTGGCTCAGAATGCCACACTACCCTGCTCGGCCTACTTCCGGCCTCACTCAATACTAGGTCGCATAAGACCACAGCTGAAGTGCCGACACCAAACTGTATTTGCTGCAGTGCCGACACTTTGCTGCAGTGCCGACACCAAACTGTATTCTTCCACACCAAACTCCAATGGCTGAAGTGCCGACACTTCGCTGCAGTCGGACATCTGTATTGACCCTGCACTTTCCAATATTGGATTTTCCAGACCGGTATTCTCTACTGTCTCCTACGGCCCGCCTTCGACACATCCAAATAGTTCACTTGACTTCACTGACCGCCTTGGGACGAGCTGCTGACCACACTGGACTGATTGACTGGACAGTCCACCAAATTGGGCCTACCGGATCCACTGGCCTAAGTCCTAGACCTAGTTCTCCTACCTACCGGATTGATACTATGGTACACGGGACTTTGGAACTTTGGGACTGGGACTCGGGACAGACTGCTGATATACGAACCTGCACGGGCAGGTTTAACTCCAGTACAAAAGACAAAAGAGTGAGCTTTGACACAGACGATGCAGCTCTCCGAATCATGTGGAAAGAGAATCCAACGTTGAGTTTGCTGATGGTATTCCTCGCTGAGTGGCGGTTCATCGTGCTTGCCATGTCCATCATCAGAGTCGGAGTGTGAGTGCCAGCTCTTTTGCAACGGCATGTAATGCCCAAAGGATCTTCGGCTTCAGAAGTTTTCGTGTCCACAGGTCCCAGGACTGTTTTTCCATTCTGTAGTGGTGACTTGATTCATTTGAATGACAACTGACAGTGTGTCCTGCATGATCCATGTGCACATCCACCACCTGCAGTGATGGAGCCTTAGCAACAGTTGACCTCAAATGAACCCCCAAAAGAAGACTGCCAACATTTTCAAGGGAATGGTGGACAGAAAGGGACATTCACAACTGCCTCAAGAGCTGACGTAAGCCTATGGAACCATATGTCATCCACAACAACAAGATTTACCTGAGTGACAAATATTCCTCCAGGCTTCAGTCTCCTCTTAACCACATTCTCATAAAAAGCCTAGGAAACCAAACGCCATTCCCAAACATTTCCATGCATGCATGCATGCGTGCGCACACACATACCACACACACACACACACACACACACACACACACACACACACAAACACACACACATTTCCAAAAGAGAGATGCAAATGAGTCAGTCGTTAGAACATAATCACCACCACTGGAAATAGAGACTATGCAATGTGCTGTATGGAGTAATTAGGATATGTAGTGTCAGTTTCCTGCATTTAACAACTGTGGTACAAACAAGTGGTAGGCTAGCAGCACATAAGTTTACAACCATCTGTGAGTATTTCCAACCTTGCTTGTTGGGCTCCCTCGCAGAGATCTCACTGTGTTGATAAGCACTCGACGCTCATTGCTGGGTGGAAATTGTGGGTGAGGATTGTGGAAGAATTGCATCAGTGGCTGGGTGTTAAATGGGTGTTTGGGGAACTTTGGGCCATATTGAATGGGATCCCAGGACAAGACAAACGGGGAAAACAGGGTCTGTACAATCACGAAGCGAGAAAAAAAAAAAACAATCCCTCGTTTTTTGTTTTTACTAATTAGCTCATTTTTGTCGTCTTTGCTTTCAATTGGCAGTTTTTCAAGGTTGCTTTCAATTCCTCTCCCTTCCTTTTTTTTGAAAAAAAATGCGCCTACTGGCGATTTCCTGGCTTAATTGTCTCTGCCATTCGACGGTTTCCATTTCTTTGCCACCATGTCTCTGATGGCATCCTTTGGGGTCTAGGTCTCCGGACTGGAGTCCATGTCAGATCCAGAGGATTCTCTTTCTCTTTTTTCTCATAGTGCTGTACTCCGCGTGCAAATTGACACCCGACGGGCAACTGCCACGCCCAGGCCCTCACAGGCCCTGAGAAAGGCCGACCAGGCCTTAGAAAGAGGCCCAGAGCGACACTTGACCGAAATGTCGACAGTCAACTTGTGGACCCAGGACCACATCCGAGAAGTCAAAGTCAACGCATACGATTTCCTGGCCATCGATCTGGAATGATCTAACAGTGGTCTACAGGTTCCGGAAGATTCAGGCCTCAAGGAGTCCAGACTGAAACTGGGACAAATTGCATGTGAGCCATCGACATTAGGAGAATCCGGGGCCTCACTTGGACAGAAGCTGACCCTGGACAGTGCGAGTCAACACTATATAGAGTTGACCTCACCACTGCTTGACCATTCAGTCTTGCGAGTTGCTTGCGGCTACGGCGCTGTACGTGAGATTTGAGAGGAGGACGCTGGCGCCACACAGCTTCATGGGCGCCAGCCAGATACAGTAGTAGGAGAGGAGAGAGAAGGCAGCCATTGCTGCGACCATAGACGATGGCGAGGTAGTGAGGAGAGGGAGAGAGAGTGTGGATGAAGTGTGATGTCGTGTGCGCGTACCTGGTCTTATCTGACGTGATGCTGCTGCTGATTCTGCTCGCTGCTGAAGGATTACTCGTCTGCAAAGGGCTGTGTTACATCATCCACGTGTCACAAGGGTACCTGTTGTGGCTTCGCTTGCAAGGGATCGAGGGGGAAATGGGAGAAATGAGTCGGGGTGGTGGGTTCGGTGGGTTTTGGGGTGGTGGTCGGGGGTGTTTTTAGACTGATGGTCCCGTGGGGGGTTGTGCCCTAACAGCTATGGCAATGTGTGTGCGGCACCTCCTGCTAGTCGGGGAGGTTCTGCAACAGCTGGCTTTGGAAATCGGCATGCTATGTCTACCCCTACCGTCTTCCCCCGACTCTAGACTGGAATCCAGCGGCGTACCTTGGTTGTTATGGCACGCAAGTGGCATTCATGAGGTCTTGGGTTCAATCCCCGTTGCCCTCATGTACCTTCCTGGGCAAGCTTGGCGCCAGGCACATCGAGAAAGACCGGAGGGGAGGCACGTCCTTTTTTCCCCGAGCTGCGGAGGTGGGGCGGAGGAGTGGGGAGAGTGAAGAAGAGGGGGAAGAGGGCGGAGGAGGGCGGCAGGAGCAGAGAAATCATGCGGGATGAGGCTGGTAGTTAGTTTGGGGTCTCTCTCTCTCTCTCTCTCTCTCTCTCTCTCTCTCTCTCTCGGTCTGCTGCACGCTGTTTTTCCGTGTATTTTTTTTTTTTTTTTAAAAGCTCTCCCGATGGTCCACGGGTCAGATATCAAACTGATCGGAACAGACTACACATGATCCTCATCGTCGTCGTCGTTTTAGGGGGGGGGATAGTTAGTTCGTTTGGGATGTGTCTCTCTCTCTCTCTCTGGTGCGCGCGCACATGTGTGCGCCGTTTTTCAAACTGATCGGAACAGTTACTACACTTGATCGTCACCGTCGCCGTCGTGCAGCAGAGGAGCGCAGAGTTGCAGACACTTGATCGTCATCGTCGTCGCCGTTCTGGGGGACGGGGTAGTTAGTTTGGGGTCTCTCTCTCTCTCTCTCTCTCTCTCTCTCTCTCTCTCTCTCTCTCTCTCTCTCTCT